CCCTACCTCACAAGAGGACTGTTCCCCTTGAATCCAAGGCAAATTAACACTAAATGGCAAATCCTTCAAGGGTTATGTAGAGGAGGATGAGTGGAACAAAAAAAATTCCCAAGGTTAAGCTTGGAAATCAATGGAAGGTTCTCAAAATTAAAGTCAAGGCCTAAGCATCAAGCTTCTCTACTGGTGGCTAGGGTTTGTGGTGAGGAAGAAAATGAAACAATGAAATGAAGTGTGAGTGGAGGAAATAGAAATCCTCCACTCACTATGTGATCTTACACCATGGTCAGCACACACAAGTTTGGTCAATTGCACAAAAACCCTTCTTTAAAACTATAATCCCAAAATGGCCCAAAAATAATTGCAAGACTTAATTTGAAGCATACACTTGTCACTCATCCAAGCCAACAAGTGGTCCAATCTTAGGCTAATAAATGGGTGAATCTCCACCTTCCATGTGTCAAGACATTAAGCTTCCAAGTGGTTCTACCAAGATGTCAATAAGTGGTTCCATAGGAATGTGACACTTGTCATACTTTCCAAAAATTACAAAAAGGTCATTTTCCAGAATATCTTCTAATTTAAATTATAAAATGGTCCCTAAGATAATTACACTAAAACCCCACAAGTTAAGAATATTACAAAAAAGTTATGCATCCATACCTTTTACAAGAAAAGTAAATACTTAGCATGCTTTTCTAAGAAAGTAAAAATACACATGGCATGGAATTTAAATATCGTGGATGCATGCAAAAACCAGAATCAAATCCGAACATGAAAAGTGAGGTTGTGCTAATAAAGTGACAAACGGGAAAAAGACGAAAAGTGAATAGTGTCGAAAAACGAAAAATGTGGAAATGACTCGGTCCTTAAAGGAAGTTGTCAATCCAAAGGAAAGAGACTCAGAAACCATTTTTAAGCACTCGAGATGACACTAAGTGACAAGAAACCGAACTCAGAAAAGAAATTTCAACGAAAAAAAATTCATCCATCAAATTATGAGGAAAAAAGGAAGGAATGAAATGACTGGGTCATTACATAGAGCTACAAGGTTTTGTGGTAGATATGAGAGAGGAGTCATGCGAAGAGTCTCCAAAGTTTGGGATGAAAGAATGGAATAAAGTATGGGCACATATGCCGGCACATCATCATGATGTAGTAGAGTTTGGTGATGGGGGATATGTAGCAATTGTTGCTGATAGAGTTGGTGATGAGGCTACGGACAAGGAGTTGGATCTCTCCGATAGCCAGCCCTTACTGAGGAGGAGGCATATTCCTCAGGGTGAGATTAGAGCTTTACAGGCCAAGGTGGCTGAACTGTAGTATGGCCAGGCGGTGCTGCGGCAAATGCTGACTGTGCAGTAGAGCATATTGAAGGAGTTACTATGCCGCACTCCGTCCGCTCCATCTATTTCCTCTGATCCATCACCACCACCTATGGAGTAGCTTTCTAGGGCTTTTTTTGTTTTTCTTGTTGACTAGGGCAGTCTTTTTAATGTATTTATTTCTATATAATGTATATCTACCTTAAGTCTTGCTTTCAAAAGTATTGTACTGATTTCTGATATATATACATGCTTTTTGCTTCTATTTTCCTTGTGTTGATATTTTTGGTTCCCTATGATATTTCTCTATGCTTATTCCATTGCCTTAATACTCTGATGTGTGTTGGAGTTTATTGATTTTGCCAGATACTACAGATTAAGTTTGGGGGTGATTTGCCTAACAACACCATTGGGTGGTTTTGAGAGAAACCACTATGTTGAAGGAAACGATGTTAAATATTCATTTTTACCCATCTATGCATTATTTTGTTTTATCTTTGCTGGTCTACTTGAATGGTAATATCTTTCTAACTCTCTTTTATTCTCCCACATTGAAGACAATGTGCACACTAAGTTTGGGGATAAGGTTGTGTTAATTTGAAACTTTTTGCTTACACAAGGATTTGACTTGATAGTTAATGATATAAGTATGTGTTTGAGTCTGTTGATGGTGATATACTCTATTTGTAGTCTGATGTTGGTTAAAAATGGTTTGTATGCTAAATTATTTTGAAAAAGGGATTCCTTGAAATTTTTTGAAATCAGTTGGTGGCCAGTGGTCCACTTTGTTAGGATGATTATTGTTTAATGATGTTGATCTCTGAGATGGTACACTTTGCACATATTCACACTTGTATGCATTTGGTAGGGTAGATATTGGAAGCCTTGTTTTGTTTCGAGTTAGACTAAGATGAGCAGGTGGATTTGATAATTTTGATAACCAAGGCATAAAAAAGAAAGAAAAAAAAAAAAACAAACAGAAAAATATTAGTATGTATGCAATACAATAAAAAAAATTAAAAAAAATTTTCTTCACCAATGTGAATGAAAAAGGAAAAAAATGATGAAAAAGAAGTAGAAAAGGATCAAGTTCAGGTTTGTACTTAGATTGCTTGAGTGATTAAGTCCTTAGGGGTGTGTTCTGACACCTAATGCCCTAAGATCATCTGGTCTGGGAGTCATTGGTTGAAAGCTTGTTACATAAGGGGTTTAGGTTGCCTAGATTACTTGAACAATTAAGTCCTTAGGGATGCTTTAATACTTAATGCCCTAAGATCATTTGGTCTGGGAGTCATTGGCTGAAAGTTCGTTACATCGGTGATTTAGAAAGCTTAATAAACCTAAACATTGCACAATATCTTTTTGAAAATATGCATACTCATAGAAAAATAATAATGCTGTGGGAATCGGACTTTAAAAAGTTTGCCTATCAATTGAGGAATAACAAGGAATAAATGCAAGTATGGAAAGTAAGCCACATGTTGAATTGTAGGATCACTTTCAAAGTATTTTAGAGATTAAGATTGTTGAATGAATAATTAAACTGATATGTGGGGACTATGGTTGCTTGATTGAAATTGAAAGTTGAAAGTTTTTCTAATTATATGATTAGTATACTCGCTGTATTTAACTGATTAATGAACTGCATGATGATATGATTTGAAAACTTATTATGCAGTTAAGGCACTGATTTGGGAAGTTTGTGGGTATCTTTACTGGAAACTTCATGAGACTATAACTCATCCACTAGGAGTAAGCTAGGGGTTTAAAGGCTTGTTGCATAGGCTAAATACAACCGTGATTATCATGAAAGCGGCTTTTTAGTTCTGTATTGCTAAGGGACTAGCAATATGTAAGTTTGGGGCTATGATGAGCGCTGAATATATGCATATTCGAGCCCCTAAATATATATATGTTAAGGCCTAAAGTGGTACTTCTATCCATAGTTAGACTGATTTATTTTTAATGTGTGTTTACATGTACTTTTCTAGAGAAATGGTTAAAATTAGGACTTTATGATGATATCGAAGCTTACAGAGTCGTTGCCGGTCATTCAGAGCAAGCCGAGAGCTTAAATGGTGAAATTTGAAGAAATTCTAGTCCCAAAGCTCGAGCCCAAGTGTTGAGGCTCGAGCATCACAACAAAGAAAAAGAAAAGTCAACAAGGCATTGAAGCTCGAGCCTTGTACCTTAGTGCTCGCGCCTTAACTTAAGGTGCTCGAGCCTTGACCCTCAAGCTCAAGCATGAGGCATTGGAAGTTTAAGAGTTAATTTTAATTAAAAGGCTATGCTCCCAGGTCTCGTGCCTCACTTTCAGGATCGAGCACTATCCATTGAAGCTCAAGCTTGGAGTCCCAAATGCTCGAGCCTGGTACCTAGTGCTCGAGCCCATGAAGCTTGGATTGAGCAATGTTAAAAGATTTCAATCCCAAAAATATTCTAAGTGTTGAAGAAAAAGATGTTTCGAAAAATAGTTAAAGAAAATTGGCTAAGTGTCAAAGTAAAGATCGAGCACCAATTCTTGAAACTCGAGCATCAATCCAGAGAAGCTCGAGCCTTGTTCCTAAAGCTCAAGCCTAAACCTTATAGCTTGAGCCTCTGTTCCTAAAGTTTGAGCCTTCCATGATATATCAGGTTTAAAGTATGGGATTGCTTTCTTTATCAGCCGTATCTCATCCCAGATGGGCCAGAAGATCTAAAAGCCCACCAAATCCTTATTTTCTTCTATAAAAGAAAGCGTAAGCCTTGATAGAAAAGGTCTGAAATTTCAAGTTCTTTTTACAGTGTTATTCAGAAGGCTGGTAGCGTGGTGACTTTTAGGGTTCCTACAACCTTGAAAGTGAAGATCCTGAGAAGAGATGTGTTGTCCGTGACGATGGAGGCACCTCCAACACAGATGACGTCTGACATCATCATGAGTAGCTAATTTCTCTCTTAGGGCACTGATATAACCCAATCTAGTATTATAGTTTGATTGTTTTAACTCTGGGATTTTATTTTATTATATTATGTTTACTTGATTATATGACTATGAGCAATTGAGACAACTCAGTTGGTTTTCATACTTTAGTAGATTATAAATTGTTATTCTCTTATCTTAGATGTAATAGTTTATTGTCTATTCTCAACCTATCTTGTTATACGGTATTTGGCGGAACCTTGCCGGACACAAGAATAGAGGTCATATAATGGTATTCTAACATTTTTTGTAAAAGAATGTTTTCATAGTCTATGCTTAGGAAAGGTGGATTGTTTACAAAGTAGTTAGAGTAGTTAGAGTGGGCAGGTGGATAGTCCGCGCTAACCACAGATAGGTTATAGTTAATTGAATTTTGCAGAACATCTTTCTTTAAAACCTGAATTAAATGAATGTTATTGAGTTCAATTTATTTAAAAAACATAATTATTAAATTTTGAGAGTTGGAGCAGTTAACCATAGTATGATGATTGTGGTGAAGTCAAAGCCCTAAGATTTTCTCTCTCTGATTACTTAGTTTAATATTTCAGTTTCATTTTAGTTTGTTTTTAATCATGACAACAAACAAATTTTCCAACCAGGTTACCTGTAAACCATAAAACAAAATTAAAGACTGAATACAAATCTCATCTCCCTGTGGGTTCGACATCTCTTTCTATAGCATTATTCTACATGGAATCATCCTATTGCAAGTGGTAAAATTAGACACGATCACTCGTTACGTCGTGTTGCATTCCATCCTCACCAACGACTTTGTAAACACAGCCTTCGTTGCCATCGATGGGACTACAACCAATGATCCTCTGACTGGCACCAGCTGCTAAGAACTCCTCCTGGAAAATATTAAATATAACTTTTGTGTACAGGTTTGCCACCTCTACTAATATGTTACAGTTTATTTTTAGTTGAGGTAGATTATGGAGCAACCTATACTCAGCTACATACTCCTTGTAACGCTTGTCGGACAACAGCCTTTTAAAGTGTGTGAAGAAATTCGGAAGAATTAGTTGCCTAGATAAGTATGCCTTCAAGCAACCATTGAAGCTTTCACTCAATTGTGTGCTGTGGATACCTGTGGACCAGGCACGTTTAATAAATGCCATGGCCCATCTATGTTTCAAACCTAACAGATTTGTAAGCCACATGTTACCAATAACACCATATTCCGTTATCATTAAATTCCATTCCCTAGTAAATTCTTCCTCTTCCTCAATTTGAAACATTAATTTTGAGAACACCTTCTTAAAGCTTTGCGCACGTCTAAACAAGAACCCTAGATGCTTCTGTGCATTTTGCATTAGGTGCCAAACACACAGATAATGTTTTGTCCCTGGCATCTCCTGCAAAATTATTTTCTATAATATAACTATGCAATAACATGTACCATTGACAACTACACAATGCAAAAGGAAATGCAAAGAGTGGAGATCTGAATTGAAATCACCTGCGTCAATGCCTTTCCCATTGCAGCATCTTGATCAGTGAATATCATCTGTGGCACTATACCGGACATTGCTTTCAAAAACGTTTGATATAACCAAACAAATGACTCTGCAGTCTCGTCATGCATGAACGCTACTCCAAACACAATGATCTCCCGGTGATGATTCAACCCCAAGAAACTTCCAAATGGATGGTTGCCATGTACAACTTTGTATGTTATGTCAAAACTTACAACATCTCCAAAATTGCAACAATCAACTATCATTTTTGAATTAGCCCATAATATGTTAGTGATCATTTGATCACTATCCAATTGGAATGCATAAAAAAAAAGATGGATCTTTACAAGCCTGAGTCTCAAAATAATTCATTAGGCATGCTGCCTCTCCACATTCAAGCTCAGTTTGTCTTCGGGTCCTTATATGGTTTAATAAATCCAACTTCATGCACCTGATTGATTCTATTCCACGAGCTTGCCTTCCCATCAACTCATATGAAATGTGAGGGCTTATTCCTGAATTAGAAGCCAATTCCAAATCAATGGCCTGAACGCGGCTAATTCTACACTGGGACGGCAGCATGTGCATGCATTCATCAATTATCAATGGATGGTTATGGCTTTCAAAAAATTTTGTAACTTCCAACTTATAGGTATACTTGGAAACTTGTATAAGCATTCGAGTAAGGCAACCGGTTCGTGTTTCGGCCCTGGGAGTCTTTGTATTACTGTCCCAAATGTCATCAACCCTGAAACCCTCCTTGCAGCATGTTAATAATCTCTATGATAGTTTACCAGTCTTCTTGCTCTTATTAAAATACTCTTTGCGGATGCTAAAACCGACTCGACCGGCATATGAATTATAGAAATCATATGCCTCTTCCTCAGTTTCAAACTTCATACATATTCTTGGTTTCCATTCTACGACATCGGCCCCTGCAATAGGAGCATTTTCTGTATATGTGTTGTCTTTGATGTTATTTAATACCTCTTCCATTCCAATAATTCAAATCAGAAACCTGTAATATAAAATAAATAAATAAAAACCATTTGAGCGAAAGGCTGTGTTGCAGGTATAGATTATTAATTGGAAATTTTTTCTGACCTATTAACATTATTCAAGATAGTATATAAAACCAACTTCCTCAACTACACATATTTTAATTTTGCTACAAATAACAAAATAAATGATTTATTTAACTTTTTCTAACTCAAACATGTACTTCTAAACTTTTTGGGCCTTCTATTTGCATAAAAATTACAACTATGTTCAATTATTCATTTAACTTTTCCCAAATCAAACATAGACTTGCAAACTTTTTGGGCTTATTTTGAGAAACATTACAACCATGTTAAGTTATTTATAATGAACAATCATAACTCTCAATGGAAACTTACAGGAATACAATGGAAATTTTTTTTAACATCTTCAATTGATAGTATAAAACCTCCATTCAACCTCTATTTCTAATTATACAGAATATCCCAAATATATTGTAGTATTAATCACGAATAAAATACTGCATTACAGGAATTCAATGAAAAATTTATTCTAACATCTTAAATTGAAAGTTTAAAACATAATATAACTTATAATACAGAATATCACAACTTTTACACAATTTAATAATATAATTTTCACAATTTCTCATTCAATTTTTCACAGTTTAATAAACAGTTCAAGAATAACCAAACAAAAGTAATGAAACACAATGTCATACTATTCACAAATTCACTTACAAATCCAGTACACTATAGCTTCGTCTTCTTTGGCCTTCAATCAAACACAAGACGCTACAGCTTCGTCTTCCCCAGCATTGAATCAAACCTTTCCAACAAAATTGTAAATTTGGAAAGAAGAAAATTAAAGAAAGCTGGGACTTTTTTGGGAAGATGAATTTATTTCTTTCTATATTTTGGGAGAGAAGAAGAAAGAAAATTAAGAACAGGCGTTATACCTTCATCACTGTAGCTTCCTGTTCTCTGACGTTCAATCAAACCTTTGGAAAGAAATTGTAAATTTGGAAAGAAGAAAGAAAATTAAGAACAGACGCCATACCTTCGTCACTATAGCTTCCTCTTCTCTGATGTTCAATCAAACCTTTGGAAAGAAATTATAAATTTGGAAAGAAGGAAGAAAAATTAGGAGAGAAGAAGAACAAAATAGATTAGAAATTTGGAAGAGGTGCTAAATCTATATTGGAACTTCCAATTTGGTGCTTAAATCTGAGTTTCAAATAGGTATAATTTCGTATATGTCTGTATATATAATTTCGTATATGTGTATATATTTATCGTATATGTCTGTGTGTGTGTGTGTGTGTGTGTGTGTGTGTGTGTGTGTATATATATATATATATATATATACCTTTTTTTTACCCAAAGTCCTGTTTGGCCATTTCTACCACTGCTACAGTGCGTGAACATTAAGAATCGGGGGGAACAGATTCTCCCGTTCCACAGGAGAGGATTCTATTCCGATGATAAAAATGGAACTGTGTATGTAATTTACACGACTACAAATGTAACTTTGTTGTACTTCGATGTTGAATTTCTGATGGAGTGGAAATTTAATTGACATACAAGAATTCTCCAATAGTAATATGCATCTGCCTCTACTTTATAATCCTCTTTTGTTTCTATGGGTTTTTTACTTGTTTATTAAGAATGGATATGATTCATCACAATAGTAACCCATAGTAGCAACCTGAAATTCATGATCAAGTTTTGAAATCCGTAATCCATTAATCTATTGTGACAGCATTAGCATAAATCTTTTTTTTTTTTTTTTGAATTTATGACAAAATTCGATAATGAATTCTCAATTATTTCAGCTCCAGTACTTCAAAATTTGTTCTATTTTACATATATGAAGAGAGGCACAAAAATGGTTGTCACAATTGTAATGATCATAGGGTCAGCTTGTAGTAATTGCAATCTGCATTTTTCATCAATGCAAATTGGTTAGATAAATTCCCTGGGACTAAGGTATCTTACTCTACTGCACTTTGCTCATATCATGATGGTGTATTGGTTTATGTTTTTAATCAATTTGCTAGTGGACCTAAACCTTTTAAAATGTTGAAAGTTTGGTGTTTACAAGAGGCAGTTCTACCATTAGTTCAATAGGCTTGGGAGGTTGTTGTTCAGGGCAATCCTAAGCATATCTTATTAAAGAAACTTGGAAATGTCAAGAAGGCCATTAAAGAGTGGAAAAAAAATAGTTATGGCAGTGTGGGAGATCGAGTCATTTAGGCCAAACAACAATTAAAAGATATTCAATTACAGTTGTTGTCATCTCCTACAGATGAAAATTTTATTCTATAGAAGCAATCAAGAGATGATTACCTGGCTTCTATGACTCTCGGAAAATGATAGGTGTTCTGCCTTCTTTTATCAAAAGACGAAACAACACAGAAACATGAGTGTTGTCACTCACATTACCAAGGATAATGGGCAGTCTTTTTCTGAGATTGATACTATCAACAGATGTATATTAGCAGAGAAGTTTCTCAAATGAACTTTGTTCCTTATCAACAGTTGGACTTACAAGATATTATGGAGCTTGACACTGAAGTTACTCATGAAGAAATAAAAGAGGTCATTATAGATTTTCATCCAGACAAGGCCCCTGGCCCTGATGGTTTCCTAGCCCGTTTCTTTTAAACCTATTGTAAGCCCTGAACTATGCTCTGCATTCCAGCATTTTTTCAGTAGTGGAAATCTTCTTATTGGGGTTAGAAGTTCCTTTATCACACTCATCCCTAAGTTAGGGAATGCAAGTCAGCTAGGTGATTTCAGGCCAATATCACTTTATAATGTGGTGTATAAAATCATTATTAAGCTGCTTGCCAAAAGATTGTCACTGGTGCTCCATAAAATTGTAGGGGCAGAGCAATGTAGATGATTTGTTGATTCCTTGTAAGGCCTCCATCTCCAATGTTAGTGTTCTTTCCACTTAATTTACTTAAACATTTTGAGGACATTACTGGACTTCAAGTCAACAGACAGAAAAGCTGCATTATTTTTTCTAGAGCTGTGAGGAGGAAAAATGCTATTCTTCAAATCCTTTAGCACTGAAAAGCTGTTGCCCCTTAAGTACTTAGGTCTACCCTTATGTCCTAATGGACTTAAAAAAGCAAATTGCATTGGCCTTGCTGATAAGGTAACTAAGAAAATTTTCAGTTGGACCAATAATTTTCTCTGTGTGGCTGGGAAGGTGGAACTTTTTGAAAACATTGATAACAAATGTGATTTTGTATTGGTGCAGTATTTTTAGCTTACATGTTTCAGTTATTAGCTATTTTTAGCTTACATGTTTCAGTTATCAACCATGTCCAGAAATTATACAGAGACTTTTTGTGGGGCAACAAGGGTAATACTAAGATGATGCATTTACTTAGCTGTGACCTCATTACCAAAACCAAAGTTGAGGGTGGTTTGGGGGTAAGAAGGATTGTTGATGTTCAAACTACAGTTACTTATTCCTTGGTTTGGGATTTTCTCCAAAGTAAAGATAGGTTGGACAGCCTGGTTCAGAGACAAGTATACAACCTCAACAACCTATTGGTTTGCCATTTCTTCAGTTTCTAGCTCTGCTTTTTTGAAATCTATGATGAGTGCCAGGGACTATGTATAACAAAATATCAAATTTTATATAGGTAATGGGCAACAAATCAACTTATTTCTTGATCCTTGGTGTAATGGCCAGACCATAGCCCAGAAGTTTGGCCATAGGGTAGCTCAGAAGTTGTATCTACCTAAAGATGCAAAATTGCATAGCATCTTGAGAGAGGGTTCATGGAACCTAGACCTGCTACATGATGATACACTTGCCTCATTTAGGAATTTTGTGCTTAGTATCCCTATCCCAGCAAGTAATGATAAATTACTGTGGGATGGTGGTAGTTTTTCTATTAAGAAGGCTTGGAAATCATGTAGAACTACCTTTGAGAAGGTGGATTGGCATGACATGTGCTTGGGTAAGAGTCGGCCAAGGTGGTCTGTAAATGCTACTTTTGTGATGTTAGAAGAAAACTCAATTGTAATAGGAGATAGAAAACTTAATCGTAGTTAAGGTGGATTGACCTCTAATCTTACTTTTGTGATTGCTAATCGTAAACATGTCCATCCCAATCATAGTTAATTTGCAAAGAAGAAAACTCACCCTTGCAGCCAGGTGTTCTCTCTACCTGCAAGATAGGGATACTATATGTTGATTTTATGGCTCAAATTCTACCAACTCACCATGCAATAGCTCACCCATTACATCATCAACTTTCATCACTCATTTCATTAGCAATGCTTGGCAGCTAAGTAGATTGATTAAGAAGCTGTGTGTGGTCTCCAAGCAGCCCGGCCCATGTGTGATCAGCAAGATATATGCTTACTCAACAAGCATAATTTGGTATCCTTTAGCTATAAATAGCCATACATCTTATGCATCTAAGGAATTCAACAATTGTGTGTGTTTTGCTCAATATCAAGCAAAGCAAAGTGTGTAAGAGTTTGGGTGTAATTGGGTTTTGGGTGTGAGCCACTTAGCATTGTATTTCTTTATTTCCATAGTGAAATATTATTGTCTTCTCCCCATGGACGTAGGCACAGCCGAATCACGTAAATTCTTATTTCGTTTGTGTGTGTGCTTTATTTATTTTCTTTTCGTTATTTTTTCTCTTGTTTTTAGAAACTCCTTCTCGATCCTTATTTCGTAACAAACTCATATCATATCTCGGTTCGTGTATTATGTATAGATACTGTTCATAGATATTTTTCAGGTACTATTCACAAATACGGTACTATTCACCGAGAAATATTTTGGGGAGTTTTTAAGGTGTCGACCAGATATGAGATTGAGAAATTTGATGCAAGATTAGCTTCAGTCTTTGGCGCATTAAGATGCAGGCCCTGCTAACTCAACAAGGTCTAAAGAAGGTGTTGTTCGGAAAAGACAAGTTGCCAGAAACTATGTCCAATGAAAACAAGGATGAGGTCGAT